GGAGATGACACCAGGGTGTGAGCCCCGATTATGCGTGAAAAACTGGTATGAGGGTCAGTGCGGTCACAGAGCGCCATGCAGACGTGGGAGTGCAGACAAAAATAAGAAGTTAGCGTCACTGAAGGGATTGAGTCTTAGTTACCGTAGACCGGCAGTGGCACTATATCTCCCCAGTCAACTCGTACGCCAAAAACTCGTATGCCGAAACTAGGAAGTAACGCTCAACACGCAAATATGGCGTACGTTGACTGGACAGCCTTGGTGAGGCAGTATCCGACAGCACTTAAACAAGAACGCTTGACCGAAAAAACGTGGGTAAAAGACCCGACTGGAAGTGTTTGTGGGACTCCAGCAGGTGATCGCGTAGCTTACGCGAAGCATGCGTTGCCACTTATCTTTGCCACCTCCGACAAAATGTATTTAGTCAAACAGTAAGTGTTTGTTTCGAGCAACAAAAAAAATGTCAAGGATATCGCCCGGGATTTGTAGCTCCTCCCCCCTCCCCCCTTGACCCCATCGCAACTGTGCGAGAAAGCCAATAACCCACGAATTTTTAGGTTGACCACATATGGTACGAAAATTGGGCTGATCATATGGCACCGGATAATTTCAAAGCGACCATGGAATTGGTTCGGTTAGCACGGAAGAAAAGACAGAACGCACCCGTACTAGTGCATTGCTCAGCAGGTAGGGTTCCTTTTGCAAATACTCTGAGAAATGAAATGTCGGACCACTATATTCGAGACAACAAGAGATGGAATCCATTTTTTTTCATTATTCTTTCAGGAGTTGGACGGTCAGGTTGTTTCGTCGCTATAGAACTGGCAGCACATCAAGCTGCAACAAATCCTAACTTTAGTATGGAAACAGTACTGAAAACACTACGGGATCAACGCATGCACAGTATACAAAATGACATTGTAAGTATGATGGGAAGGGGGGGGGAGGTATAACGGAGCACCATTCCATTACATAACAGAACGCATGAAGTTGCCTCAAAGCGCCGGTTTTCGAAGGACGTCCGACGCCTCTGTAAGCAGGAGCGACGCTTCAAGCCACCGCTCAACCATTTGAAACAGGTGTGGTCAAACATCGCGCGAGCTCAAGAAAGCCTACGAACATCTCCAGGGTTGAGTAGCTTTAGCGCGCAAGCTTCAATGGAGACAGATACCCGGCAACCATTTCTCTTGTGTAGGCAACTGAGCCGTGGTCCGCCATGAATTGTTGTTCATCGATTCACTGGCCTCAGAGGTCCGCACCTAACCACTAGCATACCCCGTGGATGGGAAGGTGTTGTTGCTGGTAGTTCTTCTCAATAAATCTGCTGCTCTGTTGTTGAAAAAGCAGAGTCCTGATTGGTAAAATAGAGGGGTTAGTACGACCCTCACGAATTTCCCTTTCGTCAATTACACTCCCCTTTCCATCTCTGCTACATGCCACTAGCGTCAGGGTACGCGCGGGGTGTGGGAGAATGTTCTCACCAATGAAACTGCCGAAATCGCCCCTGTAAAGAAAGTAGCAGTTGCAGGGCAGTAGTGCTGCAGCTATTGATTCCAGAGAAAGAGAGGCGATTAATCGACATCGGAAAAAGTCCTTACCAAAGTCAAGTAAGACCTCCAACGGACCGAAATGCCGACCTTCGCTCCCAGTGAACCATAGGACCGCCGATGGGATTCTCCCCAACGAATGCTAACACTCTGGAGGAGAATCGTTTAGCAGGCAAAGGGGGGATGATCGTGCAGCACAGGACAGGATGACGAAAGTCTGAGAAGAAAATTCCTGCGGAAATGTACACGGACAACACACCCTTTGTATGCATGAGGCACGCAGCCACGCCCATCGCATTTCTGGGATATGAACTGGTCGACCTAGATCATGAAAATACCAGGATTGAAAGAAATATCCGATGCTTTTAGCGTTTCATGCACCACATCACCTAAGTTTCAATGCGGCACTCCATGAGCAGGGTGTCCTCTTTCGCCCCCCCCCCCTGTCCATTTATTATCAATTGCAACTCACTAATATAGATTTACTGACAGCAATATCTCTACGTATATCGCGGTTTTGTCGAGTATCTGATCGATCGAGGCGTTGCCAAACGACTTGACCTTCTGAAGTTTATCAATGATTATGATAATCTGATAAAACGGAAACGCCAGAGGGGTGAGTTCGTAACAAGTGAGAGCAAAACATTGTCAAATGAGGTGCAGCTACTGACGGCACGAATGAATACAGAGACATACAGACGTAGAGGGAGTGGAGAGAGAGAGAGTCGACGCAGCTGCCACGTTGGCTGGGTGGGGTCCTGGTGCGAATGTGGCGTACGGTCCACGGACAACTGCACCTGAATCTCTTCAGTGCATCGGTTTTCTGTTTTTCGCCAAATTCTCTCGTCCGTATGACTTTTGCTTCACCGCACTTTTTTGAGCACTTTCAGATGTAAAAGATACCAAGCCAAAAGACGAAAAGTCAGGCGACTACATGCCATCCGTCTATTTCGATCCCTACTACAACTACTATACTTATTGACGGCTTTTCGTACCAACTAGTTATCATACGTGAAATAGAATATAACAAATCAAGTCCTATCTTATTACGAGCGAGTGAAAATTAAGTGATCACTCGACATACTTGAGGATTTGTACAGTTTCTAATAAAGCTACATTTCCTCTTTATTGCTTGCTCACTATTGTTGGACAGTGAAGTGAAACATGCAGTCAGGTGTAGAGAACAATCAGAAGTGGGACAAGTGGCGCATTCGGCTATGGTTAGGCGTATAGCTGGCCGCGCAGTAGCGCCGACGGAGTCCTGGAATTGCATCTCTACCCTCGCACCCATCGCCACCAGATTACTGCGTTCCGTGCACATTCAAGCGGGAGAGATGGACGCCTACTGCAGGCCTGGACGCATGTCGCGCTACCTACATGAGCAAGCGACAAGGAGCCACGGGGGTTGAGTGTACATATGTCGTCTTCATAAAGGTATATGCAATTGCTGCGTGACGGATGGGCGCGTGTCAGCTGCGGACTGCGTTTGGCGCCACCGACCCAACTCGTTCTTGACACTGCTCTTTTGAAGGCGGACAAGTGACAGTGCTGGCATCACTATCCTTGTTGCACGCTTTCAACAAGAAGGCAGAGAACGGCTTTGACGGGGTGACACACTCATACTGGCTGACACGCCCAACCGTCCGCAGCGAACTAGAGTGTAATCAAGTTGAGAAAACTGGGGAGCTGGTGAGTAGGATCATATCAGGCTGTTGGGAATAGAAGAGTGATGAGGACTCTAGATGGTATGGAGGGACGTCATTGAAAAGATTCCCAGCTGCTCTCTTGCAGCAGGAGGATGTAAGATGCCCATATGTGAGTACATATGATTCATATCAGATTGAAAAATTGGCCTTACGGCGACGGCACCTATTCCAGCACCAACTCTATTCCAGGAGAAGTTTGCCCTCTTTCGTGTGGACCTTCTCAGCCTTGTTGTTGCGCTCGCAGCTATGAACTTGGAAACGCTCCATCTCGCCCTTAAATACAGTCGTCATCCCAAAACGGTAGGACGGCCGAAGGAGCGCGGACGTGAGTGCAGCGGCGACCGCGTCATCTTTGAGCTTTTGGCGGCGCGAGACAACTATCGGCAAGGTACAGCATCGTGATGTGTGAAATGGCGATGTCAGTACAACCCCTCTCCCGGAAAAGAGTCCTGGTTTGACCCTCCCCCTTTCCGGCCCTAATTGTTTGCCCTGACGAGAAGATAGATTAGATACGACTCGCAAGCCCTTGCGGCCACGTTATGGTTCCATGGAAAATAGCGGTGGAGCATATCCATTGGCCGGGTGGAAATTGAGGGGCTTTTTCTGGGAGTGCTAGCTTTTTTAGGTGTGGAGCTTTTAAGAAACGGAAGGCGGCATGTTGAAGCGATATCT